AAGGCATATATTTTCGTTGAATTTGATACATGACTATAAACCTGGGAATTTCATAGCATCGACAAAAATGCTTGGATCTTAGGAAGCCCATTTTTTGTGGTGAGGGTTGGCTGAGGGACACCAATGACCAGTATTACATGGTTTCAAGGCCCCTCCCACCCTCAATGGTCATCCCCCACCCTCCCCCAACTCGCCAGCACAGATTTCCACCACTGTCGAACACACAAAACAAAAAATCATTGGAATTAAGAAAAATACAGTCTAACGGGGAAACGGCCGAACCGTAATTGTAAATTACATGCAAGAGAAAATGGATTCCAAAACGGGTATAAGCCGGCGACTGAAGAACATCCGTATGCCCTTGGAACAGCAGTAACCTTCGCATGGACCACAATGCAACAATCCATCAACCATTCAAATTCTAATCTCAATTTCTCACGGTAATTAAAGGTACTGTGCAGAATGGCGGGACCCGACAATAAAACAAAGGTCATCCTTGAAAGTCTTTGCGAAGTCTTCGCGACATAACATTATCACGTAAATTATTCGCACAGATCGATTTACACAGAGACTATGAACATGTGCATTGATAAAATAAATAAAGGAAAAAACATGTCGGGTCTCAAGTACTGTCTAATCGTTGTAGCGTCACATTCAACTTCAAGCGCTTCGGCTTCTGTCGACTGCCTAGAAGGCAATTTTATTTTATTCAATATCATGTTTTGTTATTTTGTAAACTTTAATCGAGTACAGTAAGAAAGGGGAAAAACGAAAAAGCAGTCTTCTGTAAACCTGTTCCCCCTTGAAAAAGAATTTAAAATTCTTCTGCTCAAAACAAACAAAATATTCAAGTATGAGAGAGGAGCTGTATTATTATACAATTAAAAAAAAGACACATTTGCATAATCCCAATGAACTATATTACACACAGAATTTTCAGAATAGGAATTTCTCAACTCATCATAATTATGTTTTATAATTACAACGGCTTATTAGATTGGTTTATTAAAAAGAAAATTAACAAATCGTCTACTAGAGTAAGGGTATTCTCTTTAGACGCCCTTTTATTCAAATATTGGTGCATTAGCCTTTCTTGGCAGGATATCACTTCATTCTAATTTGGTAATGCACAATATATATACAAGTTGTGTGCGTGTCCTCAAATCCAAAGGCCAAGGCAAATTCAATTGAAATGCCTCCCGAGCAATCCAAAGGTCTAAAATGTTCCTGAAATGTCACAAGTCTCGTCTGCCTTTCAAGGCATACGAGGTGGGGCATTGATACATGACAATGAACGATCGAATTGCGCAGCAAGACTTCAAAGCGTGCTATTTTTAAATTTGTCCCGACGACGGGGTGTCCTTATAAAACGGTTGTTACCCGTTGTTCAATTACAGTAAGGTTTGAAATGAGACACAGGTTAAAGATCAGGAATCCAATACAGCTGGGTGTCTAGGCACTACAACATTCACGGTGAAAATTTTTGTTTACGCCTCCATCATGTAGATCATTAGTATTCACAGCAACAAGAATTGTCTCCACATGCGCATCAATGATACATTGTCGTAATGTTCATGGGTATGAAATGAATCTTAGGAGTTTTTTCACTTGTTACTAGATGAATTTGACCATTTCACTAAAATCTTCGTTTTAGTCTTTCAGTCGGGTTGACATTCTAAAAGAGTACATAAACCTTTATCGGGTTTCCATCATATTAGATGATATAAACAAGGACCCTTGCGTAATTGTAATTTCCAAAATGCTTCGTACTTCAAAAAACTTTTTCAAATAAGTAAGTAAAAGAGCAAAATATTAAAATCATCTGTTATTACATTTTTCGTGATAAAATAAGTAGCAATTACTTCAAAACGTTTTTCTTAAGCCTAAAACTTCAACACAAATCATTACTGCCCGCCTCTTTTAATTCAAGAGTGAAAAATACCATTCGTTACATTTCGAGTTGTCCCTTATAGCTATTTGAAAAGAGTGGTGTTTATTTTACTCTTTTAAAGTGGTTTGCACTCCTGGCCCAATGAAACATAACAAATATACATGTACATAATTTCACTCCAAAAAGAGTGGGAGACCACTCAAGAAGGAGTCGTCCCTTATAGCTCTTCATATGGTTTTTCACTCTTTCACATTTTAAGAGTAACTCTGTGCAAAAACTACGCTTTTATTCAGTTCGTCTGACTTACCTACAGAAGGAGATAGACTGCACCTTGGAAGCGCGCTGGGGTTCAATCCTAACGCCTGAAACGAGTGAGGAGCTGAATGCTGCATGCTGAACAGCGACAGACGATCCCGTGCGTTTGTCGTTTTGGATGCCAAGCTGGCGCTCTACTCAACATACTAAGTTGAGAGCGTCCTCTATCGTTTGGCAAGTCTAAGGATTCCAGACGAGACAGAACAACCGCGCTGCGCTCTGATTTGTTGGATTACGAGGCCACATTCGCCTCGGCAAGACCTATCCTCCATCTGTGGGAAGGGAGTGTTTGGGCAAAGGGGCATTCGAATTCCCTCTTCCATATTTTGAGGTGCCATCACTATCCCAACACTGGACAAGTCCCACCACTATCGTTTGGATTCCCGTCGCATACAAGGGATTTATATTAAAATGAACTTTCTTGCCTCTGTCCCCCCCACCGTTGGTAATTTTATCCTGATTATTTCCATTGCCTTATCAAATGCAATCATTTTATCAAAGTCAAGCAAGCTCCCTTTCAAATTAAAGCCAATCTAGAATTACTGCATGGTTTTTTTTGGAAGAATGGGTCGCACTGGTTTTCATTTCAGCCGGTATTAGAAAATACTTGTACGTGAATATAGAGCGGCTCTGCTTTGCTGGTGTCTCATAGGGGCTGTTTGTCAATTTAATATCATTATAATGAATGCACAAAAGTTTACTCGAGCGTATCCCAGGGGAAGAAAGAAATACAGTGTATACATTGTTCCCTCTAACGTGACACCAATTACGCACAAAATCTATTGATGAATACAGTCGAACCACAATCGGATATGGGGCTTCCAATGTCCGTCAGTCTTATGATCACAATTTGCAAGTGGGCATCTCAGTTTACGTCCAGAACTTCAAAAATTGATAAGAGCGTCCTGCATGGCATCTTGACAGATGTCATCCAATTTCACGTAATGACAGTGGTTTCTACAGTAGCAGCCCTGAGTTGTCTCACCGACACCGAGGCGGCTCAATACGGGCGTTTCACTATAGTGCGCCTCCAAGAGTTTGCAACGCGTTGGCCAATCACACTGCGCGAAATCTGTCGACCCAGTGCGCGTTTGGAAAGGGTCGACAGATTTCGCGCGTTGTGATTGGCCAACGTGTTGCGAATTCTTGGAGGCGCACTGTTGTGAATCGCCGTAGTGTTACTGTCTTCATACAGTGTAATATCGCAGGTATTTTTAGAGGGATATAAAGTTTTTTATGCTTCCTTAATGTTTCTTAAAATTTTGTTTTTATGTTTCTTAAAATTACTTCCACATTTCTCGTTCGAATACTTCCCTGATTGCTTGCTTCCGAGCCTGTATGTATGTACTTTGCACGAAGAATTCTTTGTTTGTTTGCCGTGCTGTTTGCTTTTCTTTTTCTTTTTTTACTTGTTTGTTTTTTTTTTTAAATGCCGTTGTTACTAAAACAAGACATCTTCGACCAGCGTCCACTTCTACAAGTTGAATTATTCTGCTGATTACTGCGCCCGTACTGGACTTAAAACGAAGAGACAAAATTGAGGGCTTGTGGTAACACCATGTGGAAAGATCTCTTTTGGGAAGAGGTATGGTTCTGATAAGAACCGTTGAGTGTGAACTCGAAGTTTCGACCAGCGTGCTCTGGTTGTTCTCACGAGTGGAGTGCTGGACTTCGTTGTACTGCTGGTATATAAACCAGTGGGTCTATGGGTTTATAAACCCACTGGTTCATAATCAGTGTATCATGAAGGTTTATGTAAACCAGTGGTTTATATACCAGCGCTACAACGGAGTGTAGCGCTCCACTCCTGAGGACGACCGGAGCACAATGGTGGAAACGTCGAGTTCACACTCACTGGTTATCAGAACCGTACATTTTCCAGAAAGATATCTATTTACATCTTGGTGCTACCGCAAGCTCTCTCTTTCGTCTATCTGCAACATGCAAAACACCAAATCTTATCTATCGGCAGCAACCAAAATCAAGGCGATTCTCTACGAGGAAATTAACACCTGGATATAAACGCAAAACACAAGATCTCAAAAATGACTCCAAAGTTTGAATGGAAATTTTCCGTATCGCACACAGACAGCAAGAACTCGTCAAGTTAAGTACCATCGTACCTTGGACCCGCCAATATGCACATAACCAAGGTCGAAGTACATGTACATGTATATACGGACAAAACATACGATATTGATCTATTAACACTGGGGTTTTAATCGGCCCGATTTTTTTCGTCCAGTACTTCCCGATCGGGTTAAATATGAACAAAGCAACTTCAGGTATCTGGTCATACGCGTGGGCTGTCAGGGGCCGTGAAGTCAGAAAAAAATATTCTGGGGCCCCCTCCATGTTGTCAGACTGCTGTAACACAAAGGCTTGAACGCCCCACAGGTAAATTTTGTTGTACGTGTCAATGCACACACGCACAGATCTCCTGGTAACCGAGTCTTTTGTAATTTCTTCAAATGTAACTGAGTACGCTACGTACAGATACGTCTAGTGTTCCTAGCTCTGCGGTCTAGTCTACTGCCTATAGGATCACAAAGTGCTAGACGTCCACGCGTATGCAGCTGAAAGGGGAACTGACACAAGGACGCTTGCAACATTCAAAGTGACAGTTGAGATCATGCGGTATTTCCAAGTTGCCTTTGTTTCCTTTTCAGCGAGCCAACTCTGCGGGATCATTGTCGTCACTTGTTGTCATGACGGAGACCATTGATGAAGCACAAATGGAGGGGTATCTCCAAAAGCGTTTCAAAAGCGGAATGGTAAAGGTAGGCCTATGCTGAACCACGGTAGAATGCCACTGCGAGGTCGCATATCCAGTAGTTATCTTGGACTAGAAATAATTATTATCATCACAGAGCATGCATAATTATTATCACCCTTTTTTGTGTCATGTTCATCATCTTCTAAATGCATGCACCCTTATTTAAAATGGCATTTTACTAGAGTACTTTGTTTGTTCTGGGGTGAAATAAAAATGCACAACATGCTGTTCTGCACCCAATCAGTATGTCTACAGCCCGTATCAGATGACCTGAATGGCCCAGGGCCAAAACGTGTCAAAGCGTGGAAGAATGTGAAGAGGGGTTGGCTAAGCTGTGGAGTGCATGTGCACAGATTGTACAAGGGGGACATGAGGTGTTGAAATCAACACATACACTGAATGATTTTTAAAGGAAAGGGAATTTTGGCATACAACTGTATTTTCAAGTCAAGTCGGAAGGGTGAGTGTGCGGGTACAGACCAGCCTGGCCATGGCATGCCACCAAGCCCTTTTCACACGACGACAAAAAATCTCGCAAGGCTTGAGACACAATTTCGGAGCGGGGATTGTTTACTTCACAAACAGCGATCATGTCCTTTCACACGGCACCCACTGTGTAACATTTCGCAAGCATTCCTTGAGACGCGAATTCTACCTCCATGATCCTACTAAGCGCAAATACCGCTAGTACCAGCGCAATGTGAGGTGAAAGGTTGGAGACCATCGATGAAAAATGGCTGACGCTACATCGGCAGAGTCAATCTTGCAGACGAAAAAAACGTTCTCCTGAAACCGATGTTTCGGGGAGTACCAAGAAGCAGAAAAGTTCCAAGAAAGGCCGGGAGTATGACGAGACTTTCAGCCGTATAACTGCCATGGAAAACGCCGCGATTAAGGCGAAAATGGACGGCATGGTCCACAATAGCCACGTGCGGCAGCAAGTCCTGGGCGGGAGGTATTCCCGATTGCCCCGACGAGTAGTGCCACGCGTCGATCGCGCGCTGGACATACCTCAAACGAAGTTAAAGGGCGCGCGCTCGCCGTGTGGGGTTGGAGGTCGCTATGCATGCGCACTGTGTAGGTTCTCGCAGGGGACGTTGTACAAGAAACAGTGCGTCCTTTCACACGACCATTTCTCATGGGTTGCTCAAGTTGAGAAATCTTCCGCTAGCTAGGTCCGGACCTCCTCCAAAATATCTCACGGATTCACCAGGAATGCTTGTCACTCTCAACCATTGGCGACCTTTCACACGATGGCACTTTTGTAAGATTTCTCAAGCATGAGAAAATTTCTCAAACCTTGCAGGTTTTTTGTCGTCGTGTGAAAGGAAAGAAATGTCAATGTCTATCCACAGTCCACGCACTGAGGTTAGGCAGAAACTCATTTTCATGCCAAACTGAATCAAAAATCGGGACTAGATTTTAATTAATTAAAAGCAAAATGTAACTGTTCCAGTCCGAAGCGGGCCAGAAGTCGCAACACAACTTTTGCAGTCTAGACTTCAAAATGGTCTCCGCAATGCATTTAAAAATACTTTTAAGTGGACATATTTGTCTTAGTTAACCTCAATTTAAGTTTTTCTTTTACTAATGTTTAAAAGATTATTTTTTTGTCTTTTGAGTTTTCGTGCATGTTTGATTTCCATATTCGTCAGCGACACTATGATGTCATCTCGGACAGAACACCTCAACAGTACATCTGTCAATGCACAAACAAACTGCTGGGTTTTGTTTGTTTTGATGGCCTATATTTTCTTGGCTACGGGTGATTCACTGTTATGAAAGCACATAAGCCAGAGAGCAGTTTTGCACAACCCAGCGCATCGGTGAATTTAAATTTTCATCCTTGTCAAAAGCCTTCAACGGTTTGTGGCATCGTTGTAAATGTTAACACCCATATACTTTTCATGAACACACACCGCTGCGGTTCATGGAAACGGTGAATTAACACAGGAGAAATACATGATGACGAATATGAAACCAGGATGCGCGCGTTATCTCCTCGTATGTCTTCTAAGGTTACCGTTACTGTTGATTTATGGAAAAGCTCTTCCTTTTATTAGTTTTAATAACCAACACCAATCTCCTAATACTGTTCTAGCAAACACAATTCCAAACAAATTATGACCATGTATAATTTATAGTAGGCCATGATTTTAAAGCCGTGGTTTCGTCAGTTGGTTTGTCAGTGAAAGGACTTTTTCAGGTGGTTTCACGTCAATTTCTTTTAGCTTCATATAGGGGATTTCCATGTCATTCACAGATTACGCCTCCTGTATTGCAGTTATGTATGTGCTTGTTATTGTTGACATAATATGATACAATGAAGTGAAATCTATGATTTATTTGGCATTTCAAAAATTTGGTCATCTTCATTTGGTTTAATTAAAATCTCTTTCTTAAAAGTTTAAAAGTTTTGGTTTAAAATAGGAATATTTTTACTGTTGAATCCGACGTAAAATGTGATTGTGTAATGTTCTATCATTGCAGCTGTGGAACTGATAATATGATTTTCATTTCCTCCAGACCTTGAAAAAGAAATGGTATGTGTTGAAAAACGGAGAGATACGAAGTTTTCAAAGCAAAGAGGCCTGTCAACAAAATGTAAGCTTATTTTGACTAAAACACCTCCTTAATGCTGTAAATTGTGTAAAATATGCTGCGCAAAGTACACAGATGTGTAGAAAACATTCATTTCTCTTCGAAGTCTAAAAGCTCCGATTTTTTATCGAGTTAACATGGTCGCATTTAACTGTTGTTTTTCAAAATTTGTTACAGTCAGAAAATACTTGCCAGTAAACAAACATTGCATTGCTACTTTTATGAACGGATATTGGAGGGATTAACCCCGAATTTCTTGACTGTGAGTGCACAGGAATAAACGAACACCGAAAAAAGTTTGTAGCGATAACATCTGCAAGCTTAGTTTGGGTTCATCGTTATATGCGATTTATTTTGAGGAATCGACTTATAATCGCTCATACAATACGGGTGATTCACAATAGTGCGCCTCCAAGAGTTTGCAAAGAGTTGACCGATCACAGAGCGCAAAATCACTTTTGCAACGGATAAAAAGGATTCATGATTTTACAAAAAGGCATGGTGTGTGATATTGCATAAAGTTCCTTCGTTACAAATCTCCTTGTTCAAAGGGAGTTGAACTTTGACGTAAGTTATTTTGTTGTTCGGCAGGTGGATATGTACCAGGACTGTATTCCTGTCAATAGCGTGCAAACCGTGCGTGCAGCTAATGAAAGTCATGGCGTCGAGGTGGTCACCCAGCAAAAAGTCATCATACTGGTACGAAGCGATTCTCTGTTCTGAGCTCAACCAGGGTTAAACCTTCGTTCTCGAAAGGGCACGGACAATTTCTCCTTCGCGCGTGTACATGCACATGGAAATCAACTTTGTCTGGGACATTTCAATGGGCATTAAGGCCCATGTGTTCCTGCACAGCTTATTACGCTCGAAATATTGAACGCTTACAGATTAAAAAAGAACTTTAGATTTCGCGTTCTCTACGGAAATACTGTAGCCAACTAAGCCCAAGTTGGATTTTTATTAGCCGTCACGGTCTTATCTAACTAATACTTTTTTCCATAAAATGTTCTGAGGATACTTGAGAATTCTGCACAAATCTTAATAAAATCTCAAAACATGATGTTGACATCATTAATTTGCCTCAACAGCTTGACGCACATCATCGTGTCTGCATCCTCGTGTGACATTAATTTTAAAGAGAAAAGAAATATTTTGATACCATTTAAATAAGTGATTCTTACTTCTAATTTCACATCCTTAACATCCTGTGAGTGAAACTACAGGTGTACAAAGCAAAACGCCCGCTGGTGTTTCTATGTTACATTTTATGAATACAGAGTGTACATGAATGTGCTGTCGAATTATTGTTGAAGGTTGCATCGAATGCCGAGGATCAACACAAATGGATCAGGGCGATATATGAGGCCATGAAGGACAAGAGGCCTCGGTCGCACTCCAGCCCGGAACACAGAACCGACAACGAGTCAAAAGCAAACAGGTTAGATGAAATTATGAGCTCACACCTCTCATCTCAATGAGAATGAATCTACTACGTGTAGATGAAGGTGATATTGTGCATTTCGCTCAATATACCGTCACGTTTTTACACATGCACTTTCCCAGGGAGCCAGTGGGGGCCTATGGACCTTATACGCGACGACTCGACTGAGCACTATATGAAAGTAAATAGGAAAACAGAGAGTGGCGCTATCAGTTCAGGGGTCTATTTCCAACAGGAATAATATATTTTCATGGAGACCCACGTGTACCACACTTTGTAGTTTAAGATCACCAGTATTAACATCAGACAGTATGGTATTTCTAACCGTTTGTGTTGGTATATGTATGTTTACAATGTTTAAAATGTCTGTTTACAAAAAATGGAATAAAGTTTTTTGTAAAACAACAAAATTTCCTGTTTTGATGATAATAAAATAACTTAATGCATGTACACATGTTATAATGTGCTTTAGGCAAAACTAATGATTTTCAGAAAATGGTTCATTTCTAAATACAGTTAGTATTCAAGGAAACCGGGTTTAAGGAAAATTGCAGAGGGAACAAATACTCTCCTTGCAGGGCAATTTCCAGGTTATTGTGATACACTCACCGAGCATTCTCCAAAGCCACGGGCATCTTCAGGGGTCGTGCATTCTTTGAAAGCGATGATGCCGATACAACAGAAGGTCCTACGGTCCATCTCAGTGTCGATGCTGAATATCAGTCCTGCTTGCTGCCAAAGTGCTGGCTATCCATGATCCAAAGAAAAATGAACCTCACGTACTTGTACATTCCTGGACGGTAGCAGGGAACAGGAGATGAGCTGCTTGTTTCTGTATCCTGACCATCGAGCGTACGCTTACATCCTTTATATGGTTGAAAATATTGGCTGGAGAAAAATGAAGACGTGAAAACACTATAAGCGTCAATTCTTAGTCAAACCTGAATATGTTCCCTCCGTTTGTTTCTGAATGTTTATTATTCGAGTAGTATTTCTCGAAACAAATGCATGGGGAAAAACTTCGGTGCTCACTTCCTGCAATGGATGACCTATCTTTCTATTCGATATTTCAGACGCACAGTTTGTGACACAAGTTGAGAATTCTAGATTCAGATTCTACATTATGTTTGACGATAAGATAATCTAACTTAAAGTATCATCTGTGTTCAAGTGCACTTTGTGCACAAGTTGCCAAGTACTTCATGCAATGGTGACTGACATGAAGATAACGGTAGCCAACTATGGAATTAATGTCAGGACTGAAAAACACGCAGTCCTCAATACACGGTAGCTTTGTGGGTATTCTGGTGAAACTTTATAGCACAAGCATGCCAGCCAGGGCACGAATGGGCTATTCCCTACGCAGCCAAAATATACTCTGATTAGAACGAAACCGTCTTTTCCTCTCAGAATACTGTTTACATGTATTTATAACGGTCCATTTTCATCTTTTCAATTAAGGAAAAGATCATCAACGGGACCAAAGATAAGCATCGGTCGAATCTTTTCCGGGTTCAACAGGAGATCAACAGATGAAATGAGCCAGGAACAAGGCCAGAGCAAGTTTTACTTGGAACCACAGCAGCCGGCGCACGCCGAGATCGGTGTCCAGGCCAACATACCGCGAACTCGAGAGTGTCAGAGGGTGGAGGAAAGAGAGGAAGAGGGAGAAGACCTGACTGACGATGTCTTCGAGACAGATGTAACGGCTGTTGACACCTCTCAAAAACAAGAGCTGGACGCTCAGATGTCTATGCTCTTAACAGAGTTGGAACACCGAAGTCCTCTTGGCAGCAACCCCCTGCCTGATAATTCTCAAGACACAGGGGATAATGTTCCTTCTACGCATATATCAGAGGCAGTCTTAGACACAGGCACTGATCTGAAGGAAGATGGAATGCGTGAACTGGAGTCGATGTTACAAACCTTCCTGTCGGCTAGTGAGGACGGACATGACAACACGGATCAGGAGTTAGGCCGTGACGTCCATGACTATAGTGAAGATGACGAGGAGGGACCATTAACAAGTAAAACACGAAGTGAAAAATCTGCCTTCGAAGAACTTGAAACACTGCTACGAACCACTTAAACTGTATTCTTATTGACGTAATTGAATGACTACAGGATAAATTATAATTCAGGCCTTCACTCGACCCAGCCAGAATTTAGAAATGTGTCATCAGTAATCACCACTATTCCCGTAATTTGGGCAAGAATTTAGCAGCGACAAAAATGTTTTGTAGGTTGGTAACTTTCAAAAATAAAAGAAAACTTATACATTGTATTAATTTCAGTTTATTTTTAATTTGGTGGATTTCAAACCACATCAGGGGTACCTCAATAAAGGTCATAAAAATCGTTACATATTAGTTTCTTCTGGGATGATTATATATGAGACTCTGGTAAGATAATAGATTTAGGGATGTTTTCGTAAACACAGTGTCCTTTATCATATGTAGGCTATTTTCACCAACTCGGGTTTGCATTTATGACCTATTTTATCGTCTTGACACCTGGTTAGTGATAAAACGCATGGATCTTGAATGATCGTTTTAAGCCTTTTGGAGCACCTTGTTTTAATAATACGAAATTGAATTACATATTCGTCATGCATTAAAAAAGTAATGCATGTACATGCATTAAAAATTAATACACGAAAAAGTGATATTTAAATGAATTTATGTTAATAATTCATTTTTTAACCATGTTTTATTGTATTTTGTGAGCAGGACTACATAGGATTGCACTTCGCAGGTACCTCACAGAGTTTACGATGGAAAAAACGGATACTCAAAAATTAACTTTCTCTGGGTACTTACGGCTTGTGCTGAACATGTAATTTTGTTAATAGCCAAAGTACCAACTAGCTGATGCCTTTTATTGAAATAAATTGCTGTTTTACGATAACACAAAACAAGGTCTTTGGGACTTCACAAATTACCTTATTATAGTAAATATTTTTATATTAAAGTAGTGGAAAACAATGAAAAACAAAGACTTGGGACCTGAAATTGTCCTTGTTATATACATGTATTTTAATTGGAAACAGTGAACTTGGCTCCACACAGTAAGCTGAAAACATTTCGGTGTCTGTGCCTAAATATAGCGTATACATGTACATGTATATTTACACTTGTATACACGTTCTTCCAATCCCACCCCCACACTAAAAAAATTACGTCGAGACAGTTATGTTCATTTATACTTAACTTTGGTGTGTAATTGTGTGACTGCTAGATCTTCCCTCTTCTCCTTTTTTTTCTTCAAAAGTTGGTTTGTTAACGAAAAACGGTAGTCTGTACGGGGTGACTGCAATAGGACTGCACAACAGGTGCAGCGTACATGGGATTTAACTAATTGTACTCCATTACAACACCCAATCGATTCTCCCATATATCTCATTAAAGCTGGGTAAATATATATCTTTTGCGCCAAACATCAAATTCAGTATCACTCAATTTTATAATGATATACATTTGAGGAAAAAATAAAGTTAGACATAAAAGCTGAGCTATACATGTGTAACTATACAGATAATTTATTGTAAAAAGATTTGTCTCTCTTATCTTTGCGCCGACTATGGCGAGTTGTCCAACCAAATTCGTATTAAACATGAGAAGTCGACCGTGCCAAAGTTCCAGGATGTAAGTTACAGTTCGTAACGCTCCAATCCAATTAGTGCAACGTTCATCAGAACGAAGTTGCCCCGAGTCCATGGCGGTGCAACGCAGACATTCTATATCGACGAGTTGTTTCAAATGCTAAAAATACCCGCTTTTTGATTTGGTAGAAAACACGGCAAACTACAGTACATTTATAGATGACACAATGGATAGACAATACTCTTTATCATTATTTACACTGAGCATTAGTGTCTGCAATTAAAATCGTTTCCAGTTTATTTCTTGGAGGACTTCTTCCCCTTTTTGGACGACTTCGATTTCTTGACCGATGCTTTCTTTCCCTTGGCAGGCGCTGCAGTCTTCTTGGAACTGGGAGCCTCGGAGGCTTTCGCCTGAGCAGGTTTCTTGGCCTTCTTTGCAGCTGCTTCCTTCTTCGGCTTGGTCTTGGTTGGTGACTTGGCCTTCTTGGCAGTCTTGGACTTGGCCGACTTCTTAGCAGCCGCTGGCTTCTTCACCTTTTTCGGCTTGGGCTTTGTGGGCTTTTTGGCAGTTTTCTTGGAGTCAGCAACGAGGAAGCTTCCGGCTGCACCACTACCAGTGGTGTGGGTGAGGGTACCTTTCTTCTCCATCCTCTTTAGGGCAAGCTTGATGCGGACGTCGGCCTTGTCCGGTAGGTTGTGGTTGCTTCTGATGTGCTTGACGATGGCTTGCCGAGAAGATCCTTTCTTTTCATTCAGCGCTTTCACAGCCTGGATGATCATGACGTCGTACGACGGATGATCACTGGCAGCTTTCTTGGCACTCTTCTTAGGACTCTTCACCGGCTTGGGAGCTGCTGGAGCGGCCATTTTGATCGAAGGATCTTCGGCAAGAGAGGGCAGAATTGAAAGTCAGCTGACGATACCGGAGCTCCGTGTTTTAACGAGAGTTGCGACCGCTAGTGACGCGTCTTTAAAAATACGCCTATTGCGGACGTTGCAGAAACCACCATACACACCGACTTCCAACGTGCATAAAAATGGAGAAGTCAGAATACGATGTACTTGTTGGCATCGATAATTGCCAAAATACATACCCTTCCGAACGCGCTGTATCCAAACTCTCCACAAATTCAGGTAAAGCGATACTTTATTCAAGAATTACTTCTATTCTGATGAATTGATGGGCTTCCACGTTCATTTAGTCGGGTGTAAACGGTGACGTTCCAGTGTTTAGAAAACAGATTTTCCCACTTCGATTTTCTGCTGTAAATTCAACCTTTTGCGAATGGATAAGTAAACGACCCTTTACTAATCATCAATAAACATACTTTTAGTTACCTTCGTGATTTTGCTGAAAATCAACGAGAAATTCCAAATTCCTTCCTCCAAAGTTGACGTAACAAACACATCTTACGGCTTTTCGCCATGTTGGGCTATCGAATTGCCGAAGAGAAAATGTCGGTTTTCCTCATTTTCCCCAAACAATCTTGGCTAAAATTTGCCACACATATTTACCAGGGCTTAAGAATCAGGACAGATCCATGCATATGTTGACCAAGCACGATAAATATGTTGAATTGGCAATTAATCCCCGGCATTATCTTCAACGCTATACTGTGGTGATTGACCTCAAACTGTGTCGTCACCACGGCAAGCAGATCTCACCTTGAAAGTGAACTCCTTCAAATCTGAAAAATTACCATGATTTTCAACATTTTCTGTGATTCCAATAGGCGAAGTATGTTTAAATCGACCAAGGAAAATCAGTCATCAGAGAAGTTGCTTTCGACGGAGAAAAATTGATGTTTGAAAATTTTTGTGTCACACTGGGTAAATGTACGCAATCCCCGATTTGCGGTCAAGTCTACACGTATTCCACTTCGAGAGGAGCTTGGCGCGCGGCGCCGGCCTGAACTATGCAATGCTGTGCTTATCCATGCAGTTTACGCTATCAATTTAGCTAATGCATATACACATGTATAGATTTATTTGAACTGTTTCTTAAATTTACCCTGCCCCCGTCCTGAGATGTTGCTCTTGTCTAGATTTGCAAGTGACGTAAAAAACACTGTCTCTCGTACAGGTTGGTCAATCATTACGGATGTATTTGTCGCGGTATTGAGATTGCATTTCAACCAGCTCGTCAGGCACGATAGCACAGCACAGCTGACTATCTTGGAATATCAAACTTACAGTGCACAGGCCAAATGCCAGTGGAACAAAATGCATGGATTCGTTTCCAGGTATTCAACAATCATTATTTTCAACTTAGGATGATTAATAACACAACCACAGCTTTCAAATAAATTAATGTTTCATCTGGCATTTGAGAGGAAACAAGAATGATAGTTATTTGTACTTCATGCATCGTTCACTCTACGCGTGCACAAGAATATGTTTGCTTGAAGGTAGTCAGTCAATGAACGCGCTATAAATGGAAACAGTTTCTGCGTATAATGCGGACAAACAATGCATTTTTAAAACTGTATTCCTTGTTGAACGTTATTTTGGCTCCTTACTGTGATCTTAAACATGATTAATTTTTCCGTTAATTTATTCTAAAGATTGTTTCAAGAATCTGATTGTTAAAAATAATCTTTGTACTAAGTTACTGTCTCACGTCACATAGCTTATTGCTTTGCCAATATCAGGCAGTTTCAACTCGTTACGTTCACTTCTGTAGCATTAACCTTGTCATTATATTTTAGGTTATCCTAATTCAGTTTAATTAGCCGAACTTTGAAATAAACTGTTTGTTTTGCAAATCCAGTAGTATTTATTTAAATAGGCCTACTTGTTGGGCCTTCATGTAAATTTGCGAAAGAACACACGTGGAAAAGCATTAACCGATCAGAAAACACTTTCTACAAAATAAACGAATGTAACTTGAGTTTCAGTGGTTGGTACATGTACATGTAGGCCTACTTGTCAAATTTTCAAGTATACTTTGCTTTGAAGAAGAAAATTTAGGTCAACTAACGGATATTCTTAGGAAACTTGGTGCTATTGCTTCAATGATCAGCAAGTTTGCACTTATTTTTTTGTATGCTACATCTTGTTAATCATTCATGTTTTCCTCTTATACGCAGAATCTATACGCTTTTCGTTCAACGGTTAGAAAGTTCAAACAGAAAAGGCTGTTCACAGTTGTATATACCAGCATGTTTTTGGTAAACCATTCAATCGAATTTATGAAGTATTTTAAGATATTCATACAGTGAAAATTATCGGGAACCATCGTCTTTTAAATTTTAATTTCATATTGTAATACCTTTGCTATGTTCCGATGGAACTTTTTTGCTGGGCTGCATTCATATACATGAAGGCCTAGGCTTACATCATTTAATTTTATACCATGAGCAATTAGTAATGATTTTTAACTCCCAGAGTATAGGTTACTTTCTACTTCCCATTTTTCCGTAAATTGAGTTATAAAATCACTTTGAAAGGAAACCAAATTTTATTTCATGCAGGGTTAGCCGATTTTTAAATCCATGCTTGCCAAGATCAGCTGTTTGTACTGCAGTAAGATCAGTACATGTATCTGTACATGAAGATAAACAGAAAAAGATTAGGTGACACAATGAGGTAGCTTTGTGTGAGTGCTGGACTACAGATGGAGAGTGAAAGTGGAAAAAACTCCTGAAATTTGCCACATGCCTTAAATTCTGAAAGTGAGGGACATGGGATGGCTGACACTAGTTTATGATTGTTCACTATGATAATTTGTACACATATACATGTACTGCCATAAAGGACATTTCATTCTTTGTAAGACACAGTTTGGGGGATTTTTTGAGAATCCTCACAATAAATACAATATAGGTGTTGTGTCGTGGTCGTCCCTGTAGCACATATCCCGATCCATCTTCCACTGGATTCATGGCATTCATCAGTTTTTATCCTGTGCTTTTCCTTTGCTAGGACAAGTGCTCAAAGGGGGAACCAGTCGGTTCGCTAGTATGACAGTGAGACAATAATGTTGTCATTTTAAACATGCATGCAAGGTCCAATGATGGAACCAGAAGTAGTGAATAGTCGGTCAACCAATCGGAGGCTAGTAATTAATGTCTTGCATGTGTGTGTGTTGAAGTCACTGAGGACCAGTGGTATGTGTGGAGAAAACAGATCAGAAAAAAAACCTGATGTCCAATAATGTGGCCCAGCAATAAGGTGCACTTTTAATATTTGCCCCTAGTAATGCCTTACAAAAGCAAAAGTTTTTCCTCAAATTACAGAGTTTGTGAAATTACACCAAGGCCAAAACATTTCCTTTGTGTTCATAATATGCAGGTTCTCTTGACCGTTTCAAAAGTAATGTTTTAGAAGGACTTCCTAACTTTAACTGAAATTAAAAGTGCTGGAAAAGTCGAATGAAATATATAAATGTATATACTTGTATTTTTTTGTGAATTCAATAAGGCACATTGGAAAAACTCTGCCAGAGTTTTGAACAATTAGTGCCCGCCAAAGTTTTGAGATTTTGGCGTAATTTCATACTCATAAGGAAGTTTGAACAAGAAGCGTTGACAACATACATGACCAAACAAATTTCAAGCCCGTCATCCAGCATGATAAGGCTACCTTTTGAACAAATAAAAAATGTTGCTCCAGCATGCTCTACGCTTCAAGAAAAGTGGGTAGGCCTACCACCTTGAGTACCCACGGAGGCTTCAAAGTTTACTAGTGCTAGTCATCAGGAGATGATGCAAGAATGCTTGTGGTACACAGCAAATAAAACGCCCAACTTACTGAACTTACATACGTTATTTCCTTTCGCACTGGAAATTTCACGTCGTCCATTCCCGCCATTTTATTTTCATGCACGTGGTATGTGACAGCCTGACAGCGCTGCTGCTGTAAATTATAAACATCCGGTTCAAAATGCAATAAAATCCTCCAGGCAATCTTATTATTGAAAGGGGTGTTTGAATGAAACGGTATTTGAAGTATGAATTTTATTTGATCTCATATACTTAAAAGTGACAAAAATGGAAAAGAATACTTAAAGTGATTTTCATTTTGAAATTTTACCGTTCTTTTTTGGGGGGTTTTATTGAAAAAAATGCTAATTTCTAGAAATAATAATCAAATTCGTAAAACGCATTACCCTAAAATAAAATCAAACAGTCTGTCAGCCCTGGGCAAAATTTACGTATGGAACTTGCATGTGGCAACTGACCTGTGTGGATATTATTAAGTTGTGGGAACATAGTATGAGCTACACGTTTGGCTATACTTCTGCATAATCGTCTGCGCTGCGGACATCCACGCGGCACATGTACACTGTACTGTACATGTACATTCCATGTGTACACAGCATAGATCTACAGTCTAGTAAGTAAAGTATGCGTGCCGATGGCGCGTGCATGCCTTGGACCGGCCGGAGATGTCCATCTAATTGAACTTTTTAAAAATTAACTTGAACCAAAACAGTTCGGTGAGTATACTATGAAAGTTTGATCCACTTTTATTGTAGACGTGTCCGTCATTTTTTTAAGAGAACAAAAATTATTCGAAAACGTTCACTTCGTGCCTGCCCAATTCACAAACTGACAAGAAGAGTACCAGAGCCTGCGGAGGACTAACGTTTGTTTTGGAAAGAGTTGCATATACACAGGGACGTCACACTTCACACTTTTAGCACAAACCCAGTCATGCTAGTCCGAGTAATTTGGACTCTACAAATCGCCTTTTTTAACATTTATGTCCAAATACTCCCCCGACCATCCGTGTCAAAAGGCTAGCTATTTGTAGAGTCCACAGGTCCAATTAGTTACTCGACTACCACAAACCCTACTGCCTCATCTGGTCTGATAATTCTACATTGAATTTGGAAGGAGTTCCATATAGCTTACATGGCTTACGTACGGTCCCGGCAACACTTGATGCCCCTGTGCATAAACATAGTATGAGACTAGTCTGAAAAACCCAAGTATTTTCTAAGTAAATGCTTAAGAATTTTCTTAGCTAGGCCTACTGTAAATTTCATTGTTTAGGACACAATGTAGGCCTATGTTTTGACTTTAAATTTCTGACAGCTGTCATAACAAAATAGAGTGTTTTCCGTTTAGCTGTTTAGTCATATACAGAACTCTTTCTGGCTAATAAAAACTGCATGGGAAAATTAGGGATGTCCGTTATTGTTTTTAGTCAAAAAATTTCATCTTATGGTTTGAGTTTAGATATGTTTGGTGCAATCAGTCTATCAGCACAGTAATTTGAATTTGAATGAACTTAGGTACACTCAGTTTTAACTTCATGTGAACATAACAATATTGAATTCTCCATACTAAAGACACTGTTGCTACATCTTATGTTTCAGGGCAAGCGTTTGCTTAGTCAGTTAGTTACACGAGATGCCTTGCACCAATACACTGTCTTCAGTGGGTTAGAAAGGGCACAAACAAACCAGTCCATTCCAGAGATAGTGGTCACTACGCAAAAGCTTGCCCTGAATCACGAGATAAAGCGACTGTCTTTAGTCTGAGTATGGAAGAATAAGAACATTCCTCCATAGTCTTGGGAATTGAAATAGGCCTAGCATTAGCAAGACATAATGCGTATGACTGTGGAGGGATAAGAACTCGGTGGTAGAGGGTATTTCTTTCTTCCTCTGGGATAGACTCGAGTAAACCTTTTGTGCATTCATAGTAACTAAGTTAAAATAACAAAGAATAGCCTCTGACTCTGCCTCAACACCTAAGGTCTATTAATATGTTTATGTGCAATCATAACTCAGTGTACATGGTGTAGCAGATTTTATGCAAATTAACATTATGAACATGATTAATCAATCCTGTATGAAATCTCCGAACTGTACTTCCCTTTTTGAAAATAATTCTTCCACATCCGCAAATTAAAAAGAAAACGGATTTGCTGATGGTGGAATTTTTGATCAATCATGTAAACAGATTAACAGTTCACTCAGAGGTCGACCAATTACACCCAATAGATACGTTTTCCATCATTTCATCATGGATTTTATCCACCCTGAGCAGAAGCACCCCCTTATTGGTTTAAAAGAGCCCTGTTGGTCGGGAGTGTTCATTCTGTTGGTAGCGATGTGACAACAACATTTGCGTTTCATAGTTGTTCGTGACCCAGTGATGTGCAGTGACTACCAAAGGAGCCTTCATAGCTAGAAAATTGTGCCCTATCTTGGTTCAGTACAGATCCCATAGGCTACAGGTAGACCATTTTTATTTGTACAACCATGGAGCTACAACCCAGTGTCCACGCAGACACATTTGGTTTCAAATTCGGGTCTGAGAACCAAACATGGAAAATTTTAAGTTCTTGCATTTCTGCATTCATGATATATAGTGAGTGTGAAAGTTATAGTTTCAGTCAACCCAGAAAATGCCTATGGGCACGATGGGGACCTTGATTCTGCCTCAATGAGCTGGGCAGAATGAGGGGCCCCTCAGCTCTCAAGGTTCACTCTTAGAACCCTCCAGAAAGTTATGGGAACCAGAACTTTGAAATGGTCACAAAAAAGTTAGGGAAATCACTTGAATTTTAAGCCTTAAGGGCCTATACAACAGTGCAGTTTGGCAGCTACTAAAGAGTGATTGGAAACTTTTGCATTCTTTTGCTGATCTAAAGTTGATAGATCTACAGTACCTGGTATAAATCACAATTAAATTTTCCATGAATGGTCAGGCTGTGGAGGAACTTCTTCATAAATTGTCTGGTCAAGCCAACTGAAGTTGCCAACTGCCTTCAGATAGGCCTTCAGGTTGTAGGCTGACCTGGTTCTTAAATGAATACACATTCCGTACACACCTGTACAGTATATTTTGTAAACCAAATGGTTTATTTCATGAAGGCTAAAATGGTAAGTTTAATTGCCTGACTCCATCCATATATATATACTTTTCATTACAATGATTACATGTACACATAGCTTAATTGGCTCTGAACCTTGCCCACAGTGACAATTGTGTGCGATGTCTGTGTGTAATTTGATCTTTTACACTGCTTTCTTCCAAACAGCACTGCAGCCCAAAGTGGATCAGAGCAAGGAGAAAAATGTCATACATAATTATATGGAAATTATGCACCTCAACTATACCTCCTGGATTCTGCCAAAAAAGCAACCGTCGTGAAATGCTGGGTCCTAAATCCACAGTGCAAAGATTTTTGTAGTTCTTTCATTCTTTGATCATTCACAAGCACTGATTGTTTTCAGACCTTGAAGCATGTTTAGATAGGCTGTGCACAGTCACGCAACAGAAACAACAAAAACATAGAAGCCTGTGAAGAATGAGCAAAGTGAGGTGCAAGTAATCACCAGTAATCCCCCTCATTTAACCATTGTCCAAGAAATGTCCTGATTGGTTGCAATGGCCTTCTCTTCATGTGGGCCAAGTTGTTTTATCATGTTTGCATGCATCACTATACTGAAAATGTCAAACAAGCGTAACCCATTCTAACCTCTGGCCTTTCTTCTTACATGAATGTCACTGCACTAGGATGTGATCAGAAGAAGATAACGTTTAACCTCCTTCCAAAAGGTTCACTGATTTGCTGTTTAGTGAAGAAGCAGTGTGTGAGAATGCTTCCTTTTTGTCCTGTAATGTGGAGTTCCTGTGCTCTACTTTTGCTCCAAAAATGTAATATTGTATATAATGTTTCAATTGTTATCTAGCACTGAGTTTCTCCACCCCCCCCTACATACAAGTACTGTACAGTACATGTATGTATTTGCCTAAAGTCAAAAAGGAGTATTGCACATGTACAGGGTAGTATTTGGCAGAGGAATGTTTATATGTACCAAAAATGTTGTTTTCATGTTTGAAAGATAAAGTATCAAGTGTTCAGAGTTAGGAATTTTTCCAAACACATATACCATACCTGGGAAAATACTCGTCTGGGTTCAGGCCCTTTTGTATACTGGAAATCAATTTTTGTCAGCTCAATAATGTGCTGGTGTGACACTCATGTGCCAAAATAGGTTTGGGTCCTTCTTCTTCCCAGACGTTAAATTCTTTTACATATACCCGGTACTTTCGGTTCAATGTGTATCTGTATATTGAAAGTGAAACTACTAAGGAATTCAGCTTAAGAGTTGATAACGGATCGTTTTTCAGTGCATCATAGATTCCTGAGCTTGACCCCAATTTCTGTGACTTAAATTACCAGTGCTCTTTTCCCAGGGTGCTTGCATTCTTTTAGACATAGCTGTTTTGTGCGTAAATTATCAGTCAACCATTCCTGTAACAGTCTGTCTGCACTTTTACATCAGAAGCCCCTGGAAGAAAAATTATTTGTCTTGGCATGTGGAAAGCAAGTAAAACATTAATTCATTGAATGCACTCCGTGTTGTAGCTCTAATTGATATTAGGGTTTCCCTTGCGGTACTGACATGTGTGAAGTACATGTACATGTAGTCAATCAAATTTGCTGAAATTCTAGTGCCTAAAACAAAAGCGAGTGTTTTCAAAAAGGCCTAAAATAAATTATATGTACAGTCGAATCGATTCAAGAGAGGTCCTTTTGACTTGGCAATTACCTTGTTATAACAGAAATCTTGTCTTATCAGGAATGAAAACAATGTGGAACAAAGGATTGGGAGCTAGAAATTTCCTTGTTATAAGCAGAATCTTGTATTCACAGTGCTCCCATTAACGAGGTTCGACTGTTGCCTAATAGTACATTTACTCCAAATTTCCCCTCTAAAATAAAGTAATCTTATTTAAAGTTCTTTTGCTTTTTCCTTTCCATCTTTGTCTTTCATTAGTGTGAGTTGGTAAAATTCGACAGAAATGTTTGAGGTGGACCACCTCACATTTGAATAGGCAGGGGAAACCCTTATTGACCCTTTCATTCATTTTATACTCAATTTCATCTTTGGTAGATTTTTGTCACGTCAATCCTAGGCATTTATTCTGAGTGAGGCACTAACATGTGACAGTTTGAGCTCAAATTTTAAGTACATGTATGTAAGTCATCATGATTCACAAGCTCAAACCTCGAAATGACCTTGAAAGGTTGCTCACCATGTGTACTTATGTAATAACACTTCCATTTTACAGTGGTGCAGGCCTCAAAACTTTAAGAGAGCAAGGGGTAATTCCAGAAATTAGGGGTCCAAAATTGTGACATTTCTGTGTCCCTGTTATGTCTGACCTGTTATTTGACATGGAAATATCAGCAGAATTGATTTCAAACTACATGTCTTACTATTTGTTTGGCAGGTGATTTGAATTAATTCATCACTTTTGGAAATTAGAAAATGTGTTCTGAACAAAAATCATATGTCAAATATTACAGGGACACGAAAAAAATGGACCCCAAATTTCTTGAATTACCCCTAGGCAAACTGATCGACTAGTTTATTGTAATTGCATAGCTCTCTCAAATTGTCAAGAGATATTTTGGGGTCGCTGTGCTTTGTTCCTTTCACATCACATGATATTCAACTCTACTCCTACGTTTTTACCATTTTGGGTGAAATACTGTAGATCTGCATTGCATTGATCTTAAATTATGTAATTAGAATTTCTTAGCTGTAAAATATGGTAGGCTTGCTGTAAAGATGCCATTAGAGAAAATGTATTGTATCAGTGTGAATTTGGGTAAATGTGGCTATTCCACTGTGGATTTGTCAGTATTGTTGACAAATTTGCAATTTGCTTTCCTCACTCGTATCTCTTATTTTCAAAACAGTGTCAATTGCATTTTTCTCACAACTTATTCCCCCCAAAAATACCATTCATAAGTTTTGTCCACAAGCTCCCATACTGTATGGTATTTTAAAATTCCTTTGATGGGAAATGCCTTTATAATTTAGAAATATTAAAACATTAATTGCTTTTTCCAAGCCTTATGATGTGAAAAAATTGGTGTGTAATACATTATAATTGCAGGAAGGCTGTGATCAGTGATCTCAATGCCGCAGTCTGATCGGTTGTACCCGTCTCGTGGGCCCCGCAAGAGATACGCTCTGTTTCACATGTGAGCTGCCCCGAGAATTGCCACAGGTAGAGTGGCAGTTTTGTAATCCGTGTAGGAATTGCATGCAGGCTGCATCTTAACCGAATCGTTCTGGCTGACACGGAGGCTTTCTTGTGGATAACTGACTCTGTGTCTACTGGTCAAAAACTGACCAAACAACCAGTTCTTGGGAGTTTTATGTTTGGTTTCTCTCTTGACATGCAGTCATGCACCAACTCGCGAACCTTGGCACACACGCCTGTTTGAATTTGTGAGATTACTGTAGACAGGGTAAGTTACACATGCAAATCACCTTCCTCTCTCTGCCTTTATGTCAGATGGGTATGGAAAGCTGATTTGTCAACGTGTGATATGTGCCATATGCTACTCTGCAGTGGTCATCATCATCACTAGCAGCATTGGCAATTGGCTTCATTCTCGTTCTCTAAGGAAATACACAGCAAGGCTTCATGTAGAGGTAAAAATAGTTAGAAGTTTAGGTTCATTGTTTCCTTCACATTTAAAATGCTATGTACATGTGAACATTGTGTGAAAAGTGCTTGTCTTACTGGACCATCTTAGATTACTTGAAGTTTATATATGTGTGTACATGTACATGTATATGACAGTTTTGGTAAAGTTTGAACTTCAAGCCGTGAAGTTAGGTTTCCTGCACTTTACAGAAAGGTACAGAGTTTGTGTCTTTGTTGTAAACTGTAGGCCAAGTAGATAGATTTTTTGTCATTTTGAAGGCTTCTGGAGTCACACTTGTAATGTTCTCTTTATCAACTTTTGATAAAATTAAGTTAACATTTAGTGCATGCACCTTGACTGTGTTAGTTTTATATTTGCACTTCACAAGCTGAAAATTATACAAAAGATAAGGCCTTTGTCCTTTGGTGAAACATGCAAGTGCCTTTCGAAACTCATTGGCTTTATATGTCCGATCAGAATTATTAACAAGGAAGTCACAGAAAAAAGTCTGAGTTTTTTTTTATTTTTCAACTCGAGAAACATTTGACATCTTGGCAACAAATTTGACAACTTACATTGTAGTAAGATTTTTGTTTTGGGACCTGTTTTGTGTTGCTTTTTGTTGTGTATATTTTTTCTTTTGTTGTGTACTACTAAGCCCATCACTTTCTGCACTTTACAGTTCTCAAAAAAGAAAAAGCTCGGTGTGCACAGTACACGTGCATGTAAATGTACGTACCATTGGTGTAAAGCCTACATGTACTCCTCACCCCAGCATATCATACACGGTTGTTGCTGATCACAATATACATGTACACGTATGTTGCTTGCACAGCAAAACAAGCTGAGAACCAGTAACAAGAAAATTTTCTTGATATTTTGGCTAGTAATCGTTTTCGCTAAAACTTCTCCATGCTCTGCAGAAACTTTTGCCTTCCATCCAGCCCCTTAGAATTGGTCTAAGACGCTGCTGCAGACTGTCACATGTATTTTATTGACTTGCATCCTCAGTGTGATGCATGTACCAGTAATGCAGCATACGTGTATTTTGACTTTGAATGTAATTTTGGTACAGGAAAAAGTAAGATGCAAGTCACCCATCTGTACAGCCCCTGCTCAACATCTGAGCAAGAGTCTAAGACCCCTGCAGATGGCAAAGTCGGGAAGGAGAGCAGTGATGAGGAAGCCAAGACAGACTGCAAGGCCAACTGTGTGGCAGGGCCTTCCAGACAGAAGGAGCACCTCCCTGCTGAAACAGAGCTGCTTCTTCAACCACTACCATCAACTCCTGAAGATGTAAGTAGGAGATCGAAAACCTGATCTATGACGAGCAAAACTGTTTTGATCTGTAGAAGACTAGTCTGTAGGTTCCTGGAAATAGTAGTTGAGATGAATTCTGTGTGGGAAATGGGAAATTTATAGAGGATGGCTTAAGAGAATGTTTAAAATGCATTTCAGGCAGTACCGGTACGTTTGTTGTGTCCGTGTAAGTGAAGACGATATACATGTAAAAACACCTTCCCGAGAGCATAGCCAGTCTCTTTCAACCCAATGGGTCCTTGCTGACCCTGGCTTTGAAATATTCAATTCAGAAAATGCCCTTGCACATTAAGTTCAAGTTAGAGGGGACGCTGTGTCATGTTGGTGCAGAAACACCCATTGAATAATCAATTCCCTTTGTTACTCAACCACGATAGGTGATGGTTTTCCTGGTCCCCTGACTTCATAGAGAGTGCTGTTGACTTTTAGAACATGGGATGATTCATGCATTGCCGAAGCGGGAAAGTCTGTCAAAGCGATTATTTCATGGGTATTATTGTTCCATGTGATGAGAACGTGATCCATCCCCGTTAATCGTATTTGTAAAGTCTGATAGCCTGGTCACATTCCCCATACTAGATCATTTCAAAGTGAGGAAATGTGAAATTTTTTGCTAATTTTAAATTCAGATAGCAACTGCTGTTCTTTACACAAGCAATACATGTACTTTGCTTATCTTTTATCAATGATTGTTTTATACATGTAGCTAAGGACCAAGTAAATAAAAAATAAGAAATAAAGCTGCCACAAGCTGTTCACTGTCTTCATTTGACCTGAGAAACACAGAGTTTAAAAGTTAAAGTGCCTGAAATTTTGACCCTAGCAGAATCTCTTTCAAAGACAAAAGGGATTTGCCATCCTCAAATCAGAACAGGCTCCTGTAACTTCTGAGCTTCATATAAAATTACAACATGCTGAAGTAATGGAATAATTAGTATTGCATGCTTACAATGTAACTCAGTACAAACATGTACATGTACTTTATAATACATTCTGCATGTTCTTTTGACAAATTAAATGAAAAGTATTGGTGTGAAGGCTTTCGTCACGTTCATTTTAGTTTCCTTTTAAGAACACAGACTGTGTACATACATGAATTTATGAGTCCTGCCGTGCATGTACTGTACATGTATACATCTGATGAAGTACTTGTACATGTACATGTAGTACATGGCCGCCAAAACCTGTGATTACATTTTTACACATACATGTACTTATTAACTGAATTACTCTACATGTACATGTACTTCTTTTTTAAGATAAATATATCTTTTCCATACGAATAGTCTTTGGAGGAATGTTCTGAGTGAAGAATTACAAGATGGTTCCTCGTTTTGCAGATCTAGTTTTTGACCTCTCATTATTTGAATGCCATGTACAGTGCATTTGTAACTGTTTCCTCTCCCAATGGAATCACCCATCTTATAGAAATATGTATCATTGTCAAGTCGTCAGAAGAGAGTAAAAAAAAAATGGCCAGTGACTGGAGGTTCTGATTATCGTTAGCCATCAAAATGGAAATGATGTTACCCAGAGAGGCCATTATTAATGAGGTGTGATGGAATGTTATTGATGACTGTAGGTATTTTGTGTTTACTCCTGTGATTCCTGTGGAACCCTTGAATACTAGAACAAGTGCAAGAAAGAACCCAAAAGACTTTGTGGCATCGATAATTTCATGGCTTTAGTATTCCTTTGAACTACCCTGACATGAATTTGTTAATGTATACGCATACATGTACAACATTTTACTTGTGGGAAAAATGCACATTTTGTGTGTTGTTAGCTTTAATATGATGTATTTAATCTATGTTCAAAGTTACATGTATGTTCAACTACTGATTGTGTGATGTTAGCTTTAATATAATGTACTTAATCTATGTTCAACTCCTGATTGTTCTTCAAAATTTGAGTCATATTTACCTGTACATAGATCACATGTACATCTATGTGCGCACAAGTCATTTCCATGATTATGCAAGGGAATTTTAGAAGAGTGCCACTGTCTTGGATGTACATGTGCACCTGTATCCAAGTTTTATCTGAGATCAGAGTTGAAATTGACATCAGATTCACTGCTTCAAGCTGTGTTCATCAGCATGATCAGCAAAAGCCCCAAATGCCTGGCTTAAATACATGTAGGTACATGTAATTTCAGAAGGAAAGTTGGATACAGTTGGAAAGTTGGATAAGATGTCCCTTTAGGCTTGCGGGTAAACCATGGAATCAATCTCTTTTTTGGAAAAGATGTGGTTCTTAGAAGAACCGGTGAGTACTGACTCGATGTTTCGGCCAGGATGCTCTGGCCATTCCCAGGAGAATGTGCCAGACTCGAGTGGGGAGCTGGATTATAAAGGTAATCCGGAATTGGTGGAGCTTGGAACGGGATTTGCGGGTTGTGTAATTGTTGTGCGTGCACTGGGGCATGAAGGTGTTGGATCCTGTTGGGGTCCGGGAATGCAGAATTGGCAGGAAACCTTGGGTTTGGGTATAGGGTACCCTTATGCCAGGGGGGAGGGTTGTGGCTTCGGGTAGAAAAAACCCAAACGCCTGGTGATTTGGGTTTCGGATGTAGAGGACCCTACTTCCTGGGGTGGGAGTCAGCTCGGGGTGCTAGTAGTGGGGCCAGATGTCGCCGAGCTTAAAGCGATGTCTTGGGAGACTGTGTTTTGCCGGAAAATCTCAATGGCTTCTTAGATTCTTCTTGGGAGCCAGTTCTGGATGGTGGCGATGAGTTCTGCGTTGTCCCATTTGATGTGGTGGTCTGAGGAGCCAGCTTGACTAAGGCCAACTTGTCGTATTCTCTTTGTCAGCCGTGCACACGGTGCTCTAGGAGGCTTGGAACCTGGGAGGTTACTTCCGGTTTCTCCGATGTATATTTGTCTGCATTCGCATGGAATGAGATATACATTGGGGCAACTCCTGGGCGGGTGCTTGTCCTTGTGGGTGTGGAGTACAGACTGCAGCTTGTTGGGTGCCGAGTGATAGCCTCGGATGTTGGCCAACTGTAGGATACTGCGCAGTTTGTGGGAAGTGGGGCCCAGGTACAATAGACACACTGTGGCAATGGAGGGTTTGGGGGCCTCGGGTATAGGGGACCCTAATGCCATGGGAGAGGAGGGGACTTCAGGTATAGGAGACCCTAGCATCCTTGGAGGGGGCTTGGAAAGGCTGATGCACTTGTGGTGGTAGCCGTTCATTTGGAGGGCGGTCTTTATGTGTTGGAGATCTTGGCAAAGGTTGCTCTGGTCTCGAAGATCTGCACCCTTCTGCAGATCTCGAAGGCTCTGCGGAAGGGTGCGGTTGACTGAGGTCTTGATGGCCAGGTGGTGGAAGGATCTCTGGTACAGGTACCGATCAGTGTGGGTGGACTTGCGGTAGACACGGTGGTTGATGGTACTGTTTTGGTTCCTGGACAGGCGGACATCCAGGAGGGTGAGTTATCTGTCTTGCTCTTGTTCTATGGTGAACTTGATGGTGGGGTGTTGCTGGTTGAGATACTGAAGGAATTCTTGTAATCTTGTCTATGGGACCATGTGACGAATATGACATCAACATAGCTCAGTCGTATGGTAGGTTTTAGGTTGGCAGTGAGGAGAGATGACGTTTCAAATTCTTCCATAAAGATTACCTTTATAACACAGCTCTCCACTCGAGGATGGCCAGAGCATCCTGGCCAAGACATCGAGTCAGCACTCACCGGTTCTTCTAAGAACCACACCTCTTCCAAAAAGACATTGATTCCATGTTGTACTCTCAAGCTTACATGTACATCTTATGTAATAAAACACTGTATAGACGTGCACACACATACTTCCCAGTTCTTAGAATGAACACAGTGATTCAGTGGCTGATCCGTGAGTACTAGACAGAGTAACATATTTGATTCACCCATAGCAGCAATTTTCATTTTCTTTTTCTTTTTCAAAACCCACTTTTGCTCTATGGTGTTTGTTTCAGTAAAACAGTGGTGCATTTTGCACTGTCAAGTCCTGTGTATTAGTTTGAACTTCCTTATTTAGGCTGGTGTCTGTCCTCCATGGTTAATGCTATGGGGGCATGTCACAGGCTGTATGTTTAAGACACAGCAGGTGTCACATTTTAATGTGTTTGGTATGGGCATGGACTCTAGTTGTACCGGTGCCTGCCTGAGTGTGAGTAGCTGAAATGTCACAGAAAGTGACCTATTTCTGTCTAGCGGAAAATGAGTTTGGGGCCTGTGGGGTGTCACCTTGATGTGCGTGCCCCCTTCTTTCGCCCATCTGTGTGAAAAGCATGGTTCAACGTATGTATGAATGTGCACTCACATGTAGTTGGACCCAACTGTCTCATGTGTTAAGACCCCTCCCCCACCTCAGCAACATAAACTAGATACATGTACATGTGGTTACCAACGGAATAAATGTGGGCATGGCTATGGAGCCAGAAGAATGGACGCGACTAATACCTGAACTGCTGGCTCCTGCCAAGCACATTTATTCCCATACCTTACGAGTCAGGAAGTCATTTAACAGATGTAAAACTTACAAATTTCCAACGATTTTGTTGAACTGTTTTACTTCTTTTCATTTACGTGTAAACACCCCTCCAGCCACGTTATGCTGCGTGCCTGTTGCCTGCTGCTGTTTTCCAATCCCGTTATAGGGAGATTGGCATGTTTGGTGCATACTGCATGAGGTGGCACAGTAGATGAGAGCCAGGCGGTCTTTGATCAAATATTTAATACTGATCCTCATCTTATAACTTTGGTATTATTGGCCTTATACATTAACATGGGACAGAATTGCACAAACTGTCATCCTGAGGTGGGAAATACCGGTATTTGGAAAGTAAATTAAGGTACAGTTTACATCTACAGTAAAGATCTGTGACCCATACATGTAGATATTCATTGAATTCAGTCTGATATTATACTGTAACATCTCTCTCAGGGAAGAGAACCATTATCAAAAATACTGATACATGTAGTGAGTCAC